TATAGAGACAACCTGAGTTTGTTTTGTTTTTAAATACCTCATTCTATTTCATAAAATGGAAATAATGAGGTAATAGCAGTGAAAGTGTTTTGTAAACGTCACAGCCTTAGGAATGTGATCATTTATCATCATCCCACTACCAGCCTCCATTAGCATCATCGCACCTCCAAAACCAGTGAAGATCTTGAAGAAAGAAAACTTAACCATCAAAAAGTTCTGCTCCACTTCTACCAGGAGGCAGCAGGACCTAGAATACAAATTTATAGGCATTATCTTCCTCTTTTTCTGGTTGCTTCCTGAAAAGATATGATGGCCATTTGTTATCCCTGAGCCGTTGTGGGACATGTATTTATCTAAACAAACGTACCAAGCCTGTGAGTTCGTGATCTTACTCAATCCTCACCATCACGCTGCAAGGGAGTGATTATTAATCATTGTACACTTAAAGAAACAGGTTCAATGTGGTTAAGCAACTTATCTAGAATCACACAGCAAATACATGGCCTGATCTCCCCGCAAACCTGCCTCTCCCTCAAGCTTTCCCATCTCTGTAAATGGCAACTGCACCTTTCTAGTTAGTCTGGCCAAAATCTTAGAAGTTATGCTGACTTCCGTCTTCCCATTGCAGTTCATTACCTACATTAGTAAATCCAGGTGCCTCTACTCTGAAAGTACTCAGAATCTCACCACTTCTCACCAATGTCACCATTACTACCCTCGTCTGAGCATTCATCGCCTCTTGCCTAAATTACCATAGTAGCTGCCTAACTGGTGTTACTTTTTCTCTTTTCCACACAGTGACCAGAATAATAATCTTTATAAAACATGAATCAAATCTTGTTGTTGTTGTTGTTGTTGTTGTTGTTGTTCAAACTGTCCAATGACTCCCATTCACTCAGAGTTAAAGCCAAAGGCTTTAATTATGATCCTCAAGGTCCTAGACGGTCTGACCTTCCCTGGCTTCTTGATTCAACCTCTGGTTCTTGCCTCTCTCCCTCTGCTCCAACCACACCGGCCTCTTTGCAGCTCTTTAACTGTATCAGACATGTTTCTGCCTTAGGGCCTTTGCACCTACTATTGCTCCTGCCTGCAAGGCTCTTTAGGTAGCCACATGGCTCCATCTCTTACCTCCTTTAAGTCTTTGCCCAAATATTATCCTTCCGTTCTATTTAAAAGTATACTCCTTCCACCCCATCTCCTACTGCCTCCTCTCTACCTCCTCCTCTGCTGTCTCCACAGCAAATCACAGTCTGACGTGCTATGTATTTTATCTTCTTATCTTGTTGATTATCTACCTCCCCAACTAGAATACAAACTCCATGAGAGTATGGGCTTATGTCTTTTGTCAAAAAAGCTGCTTCTAGTTCCTGATTTAGCCTTTTATAATGTATCTTGCCTACACCATCCTGACCTCTACCCCTTTTCCTCTGCTGGCCAGGGAGTGGCCAGGAAACTCTGAGGAAATTGGTCATAACTTCTGTGTTTTAAAGTCAATTTAAAAAAAAGTATCTGGAGGCCATCTCGTGAAGTGGAAACCTGTGGGCTGGGCATTAAGTGACCCCTGGAGTCATCCTCCCTGATCCTCTTCCTAGATCCTCAGAGCCATCTAGAAGCATCCTGGGGACTCCTACCACCCCTATACATAGGTATCGGTTCATCAAACCGTTCATGTAAACAATAAGCCTTGAGTGCCTATTGTGTGCCAGGCCTGTGCAAGGTGCCAAAGACAGGATGGACAGACCAAGAGAGTCAGCAGGCAACCAGATGGGTAAACTGAAGATGAGGTGGTGAGAATAGTAATAGAGCTAAGAATTTTTGCAAGACCTGGGAGCACTGGGCCTCCTGCTCCTCCTGCTCCTCCCACCTCTTTCTGCTTATCCCATTCAGGGGTCCAAAGCACTCTACAACCTGACTATCACCTCTGACACAGTACCCACCTGCACAAGGAGGTGAAGAGTGCTTCTGCATTGCTCACTTGATTAAAGTACTGGCTCTGGCACCCTGTCTCAGGGTCACTCTGCTGCATGAGCAGACTCAGACTGCAGGTGGCATGACACCCTCTAGAGTTGAGCTGTATGGTGGTCTTCTTCCTTAAAGTGGGGATGATCATAACACCTACCAAGGGCAGGATTCAAAGATGGGAGAATACTAGGTCCAGAGCTTGGCTCCTAGAAAGTGTCCAATAAACAGGAATTTTCTTCCTTTCATCATTTTGCATTTTCCCAATGGGCTACTCCTCGAAGCCCTGCCACGAGGCCCCCTGATGCTCATGAGCAGCCACCAGGAGTTGATGCTGAGGCTCAGTTAATGCTTGAAGAATTGATAGAGGCCCTGGGACCTGGCTGTCATGTTTCACTCTCCTGTCATTCCCTCCAAGGGATCAGCACTGGCCTGGAGAGCTTCCTGGTTATGGGAGGCTGAGGGCAGTGCTGAACTCCAAACAAGGAGTTCTGAAAAAAGGCCAAGGAGGCCTCATCAAGGGCAGGGAGTGCTGAGAGGCACAGTACCTAGAGCAGGTGTGTAGGCCAGCCAAGTAGAGGAAGTATCGGGGGGCGGGTAAGGCAGAATACTAGCCCAGAATCCGGTGTTCAGCCCTGTTACCAATCATAGCATCAGTAGTCCTGAAAACACCTTCCTGAGTGGGGCTCAAAAAAGTGGAAGGAAGAAGTGGGGCTATTCAGAGGATCCAAGGCCTGAATGTGATGACAATTGAGAGAACACTTTGTGAACCACATCTCTGAGGTAAGAGATTATACATGCAGGAGAGACAGGCCCTTATCCATGACCACCATTCCTCTGCTCACCAATGCCAGGCAATGAAAGACCCATGAACAGGCAATGGGGCAGTAAGACACACACTAGACATGCTCGTAAGACCCAAAGAAAGTGGGTTAGGGAGTTGGATGTTGCCTAAAAGAGTTGACAGGTGGGCTACCCTATCCACCAGAGCAGTTGCTATGTCTGGGAAACAGGAGGCTCAGAGAGGAGCCTGAATAGAATGCAGCCCATTGTCCCCACTGAAACAACTGTCACTCTCCCCAGACTCAGCTGACAGGACTCAGAGTGGGAATGTGAGCCTAGCCCTTCTATCAAGGCCTCTCAGGAACAGTCAGCTGTTGGGATAAGACAGCTGCTTCCCGGGCATGGATCAAGGGGCTGGAAGAAGGACATGGATCAAGGGGCTGGAATAAGGGTAAGGAAGGACATGCCTGGCATATTTGATTGGAGGAGGGAGAGCAGCAAAACCCACAGGCCCTGAGAATAAACCTAAGAAAGATTGAGCAAAAACTTCATGGAGAAAACAAACAAAACTTTTGCAAAAAAAGATCTAAATATTGGATGGGTGTGCCAAGGTGTCAGGAAAGTATAGTTACAAAGATGTTAGTTCTTGAAATTTATCTGGAAAGTCAATGAGATTCCAATCGAAAACCCAACGGTTGTTTTTTTTTTTTTCCTTTTCTAGAATTGGATAAGCTGATAATAAAATTTATATGGAAAAGGGGCCAAGAATAGCCAAATCAATCTGAAGATGAAAAAAGAGGGGATGCAAATCTGGCTCTATAGATACCAATCTGGTCATATGGGAATGAAAACAGTGTGGCAAGGTGCAAGAGTAGACACAGTGACTAATGAATGAAATAGAGAGTTTAGAAACAAGTCCAAGAATATATGGGGCAGAGGTGGAAGTTGTGTTTAGAGGAGAAAGGACTAGTGAGAAATTGGAGTTGCGACAGTCGGCCATCCACGAGGGAAAGATAGGTTTGATCCTCTGACACACCAACTACAAAAAGAAATTCCACTGGCATTAGGGACCTGTATGTGGAAAGTAAAACATATAGGAGCTGATCTTTAGGAATTTGGGATAGTAGAGAATTATTTGTTTTAGAGATTTTTACAAACTTCTTGTTATGGTAATTTTCAAAATTACACAAAAGTAGAGATAATAGTATAATGAACTCCCGTTTATCAATCACTCAGCTTCAGTAATAATTCCAAAGCTTTAAATTCAAAAAAGACACTACAAACGAAATGAAAAGACAGTCCCTCGGAGTCTTGGAGAAAAAAATTGCAATCCAAATAACCGAAAAAGATTTAGTACCAATTATAAATAAAG